TGGTACTTCCTTTTGAAAAATTGCTTGCACACCATTTAGGTGACCACTCATTACGGAAGCACCATCATATGTTTGCGCTATGCAATTTTGGATATTTATTCCACAAGCAGCTAAAGTTTTCTTAATGAATTCAAATAAGGCCTTGGCATTTAGTTCAGAACAAGATACATATCCTAAAAACCGTTCATTTACTGTATTGTTGTAATAATAACGTACCATAACTGATAATTGTTCAGTTTTACTGATGTCTTTGGTTTCATCTGCCAAAACTGAAAAGTACTTAGATTTTTGTACCTCATTTGCAATTGATTCGATAACCATTCGACTCATAATACTAAGTATTTCATTTTGTATACTGTGATGGGTATATTTTGAATTTTTGGGCAACTCATCAATTTTTTTTTGTAATCTTTTATCTCTTTTAGCACAAAGATTTAAAAGTTCTAAAAAATTACCTTTATTTATGCTTTCACCATTTTCATTATCTCCACGTTGAGCAATGTTTTGACGGGCTGTAAAAAGTAATATTTCTGCAACTGTTGCAATATAATAACGATTTTCTTTTATAAGTGTCTCATTTTCTTTATTAATAAGAGCTAAAATAGATTTATCAGTTTTTTCAGTCATTTTATATCCTTCCCATTTAGTCATACATAATTTATGTGAAACTGATTTATCATGTTGCTTTATACCACTATTTTTTTCCATGGCTTTTTTCCAATTCTTAAATCCCGATTCGGAAAACGGTGATCCAGAAGGATCAGTGGAAAAAAATCGACAAGGAAAGCAATAACATGAATTTTCCTAAACACTGTATTCTAACCATGGATACAACTTAAACCATTCAGAATGAAAATTTCGCCATTCTTTGCCAAATTTTGTTCGTGGATAATTTTTTAACACTGGCTGAGTAGGGTTATCAGAAACAACTTGKGTGATGTCACATGGTCCACTTTGAGGTAATAAAGATTGAACGCTTACTTGATCTTCCTTATGTGCAGTTTTTATTAAATTACAATTAGCATGTTCTGAATCTGTTGATGATTCGTCACAACTGCCTATAAAACATTAAATTTTAAGAACCTTGTAGATTATTAAACAATTGTTACTAGGTTTAACCAATTCAACATGACATTATTGTTTTTATTCAGCTTACAATATTTTTTTATTTTTAAAACGCTAATTAGGTAAGTTAGTAAAAAGGTAGCAGTGGGTAACTTGTAAGGTATACAAGTTATACAACTACTTATTACATTTTTTCTGTTTARAGCAAATACCTACCTAATGAAAAAAGGCAATATACAGTTATACAAATGTATGTGCACATCATTGATTAATTTTAATTAATGTTGTGTATACAAAATTAATAAGTGATTAATTTAAAAAAAAAAATGGTTAAAGACTTATAATATTGTGTTAGCTTTAGCTGATAGGCGATAGGTAGCTATAATTGTATAAACCAGGGTTGTAATTTGTCACTTAAATTGCAATAGCACATATCTCATATTTTGGATATTTAGAGGAAAAACAAAAAATATATTTTTAATGATTAAAACTAATAAAATAAAAATAAAACTTATTATCTATATCCTATTTAAAGAACATTTTCAATTATTTTAAATACTAAAATAATAAAATCTTTATGAAAATAGAATGACTTGTAATGTAACTATAATATATTCTTTATCTAGATACCTATACCTATGTATAATTAATATTATTATTATCATTATTCATATTGTATTTAATATGACAATTGGCAATGTGACGTAATGTTTTGAGTACAGTGAGGTTTTTCATCTTTATTAATAAAATAATAAAATATTAAATAGCGTATCTGGTACCCTAACCTAAATTCAACAGTAAAGGTAATGAGTAAAGATAGGATACTAGGATGGTAGTAAGTATTGTTGGTTACTTACTTGTGTTAATGTCTAAATCACTTTGCACATCACATGATTGTATCAAATTAGTAATTTCAGTCACTGTATTTGAAGTTTTTTGTCTTTTTTGAAATTCTTCTTGATTAAACGAATTAGTTTGAGGACCAAAGTAAGAATCAATTTTTCTAACACTCATTTTGATATAATTTAAAAAATTTTAACTTGTTAAACAAACGTGGYAGTAATAGTATAACAGTATAGACTGTCGCCGTAATAATAGTTGTTGTCGTAAATGTTGAGACTTGAGACTAATAAAATTAAATTTCCACCGAAGACATTAATAATTATTATCTGTTATTCTGTTAT